CTGAATAATACCGCCGAAACCTGCATACTTTATGCATCTAAGCAGATTTCCATGTTTGTCATGTTTGTCGGCCCTCAAAATGTTTGGAGGGCCGCCCTCGGAGGGCAAGAAAATAACCTGCCCGACCCGCGGGCAGGCGCAGCCCGCCCTCCGCCCGCAAAAGTGCGGGTCTGCGGGCGGCCCTCAGAGGGCCGCTCGCGGGCGGGTTTGAGGTCTATCTATAGAAAGGTTTAAGTACCTTTCTATACCTTCCTGTAACGGATAAAGATCCTTACAAAGAGAATACCATGTTAGACAGTCTTCGCAGATCTAACCCACGTCGTGGCCGATCCGAGAGGGGTTCATAACATGACATACATGTCGACATTGGAGAGATAGCTCCCTTATAGTCTGGGACCCCCCAGTGTCCCAAAAAGAGACTGGCAAGAATTAGTCTTGGCACTCCAGACAATACATTGTGTTCTCCTCCAAGCCATAGTATCTTACCCGGTTGACAGGCCATACACCTGGAAACAGTATACCTTTACACATCCTCTCCCTCTTTAAAATTGATCCTGTTCGAACCGCTAAACTCGGACTATCTATATACTTTAACTTAAAGTATACGAAATTATAGCGTCTCTTAAAAAAAAACCATATAAGTTACGCGGCTCTAAAAACTACTCGATCTAGTCGATTAGAGTAAAAGTAGTTCTTATAAAAGAAGAGCTTGTGACGATCCAGAGTTAAGGATTCTGCCAAGGGCGGTGAGGACAACCATATAAGTAACTAGAAGATTTGATCTAGTTGATAAAAACTCTATTATACTATTTGCAGCTAGAAATGCAAAACCAGGCAATTGGACTAAGTAAAAATCAGCAAATCAAATTGAGCAAAAATCTGCCAATTGAATTGAGTATAGATGCTAAAAACAGGTAATTCCAAAAGTAGACAATTGGACTTGTGAGAGGTTACAGGGTCAATAGTAGGAAGGAAGATGAATAGGAAGATCAAGTATGAAAATTCAATAAGGAAGGGAGTATCAATATATTAAGATAGAAAAAAACTGTGAAGGATAAAAAGCTAATTTATGCCGGGATTTTGCCCAGTATTTATGTTTAAAATTCATTCTTGCTTTTGAATTGCAAATGGCTGAAAACGGATATAAATGCATAGTTGCATTTGCTTTATGTTGCATATTCAGTCCAATGAATTTTCAATGATTCATATGTCTGCTTTTGGAATTGCCTATTTTTTGACATTCATACTTAATTCAATTGGCTGGCTTTTGCTCAGTTATGATTGGCTGGTTTGATTGCATACTCAGTCCAATCATCTGATTTTTGTATTTGCATAGATGCCTCTAACTGCCTGATTCTTACATTTGCCAGTTCAGTCTCACCAGCACACTATCTTGTGTTATGAAACCCTCACAGAGCGTAAACTTAGAGACTGATCCTTGGCTCCGGTGCTTGGACAATTCAACAAGCGTCAATAAGTCATCAGGCAAAGCATGGCTTTTGTCATGAGAAAGTCACCAGTGCAACGCTATGGGCTTGATATTCGGTTTAAAGACCGTGCAAATGTTAGCATTCCAAGCTGATGGTACCCTGTTAAGGAAAAGCGGAACTCCAATACTATCATCAGTTGGGATGTATGCCTATTCAAACCCAAGTTGCCAAAACAATGATATTATCCACTTGTCCACGCAGAACGGACTCCGAAATGTCCAGATATATATCGTCGTGGACAATGCTATCGCGAACTAGATATGAAGAACATTTGTTGAAATTCGATACATAAATCAACAAAAGTCCAGTCAACATATCCGAGCAGTGGGTCCAAGTGGCACTAGTTGGAATTTTGCCTGATTCTGTAATGCCCAGGTGCTGGAGCATTTCGTCTATACCAACGGTCACGTGACGGACAAACAAGACCCAAACAAGACAAACATCCATCAATCAGTACATGGTAAGGCTTCATCAATCTCTAACCTGTTCGGTAACTCGACCATGTTGCCTACTCGAAGCGCCATCGGACGAATACCGAGTCATATACGTAGTCTGGAGCTATGTTGTGTATATAGACTTTGATATATTTTTAAGGTTAGCTGTGGGTGCGGGCGCTAATCCCCGGATCTGTAGTGCCACGTGGTGAAGCTAGGAAGATCCACTCACCCAACCTACCTAGATACATACATACCTAGGCAGGATAGATCTAGCATAGATCGAATCGTATTTTGATAAGTTACTATAGTATATATAGTAAGCATTAGATGGAGAAGCTACCAGTTACAATCCGAATTGCTAGCCTAAACATCAAGATATACAATAGTGTACGACCTGGTTGTCGAAATGGTACTTGATGCTGAAGTACCTTTTACCGTAGTCTTATCCCTCCATAATTGACTTTCTTTGTTCTACTAGTACTATTCCTAACAAAGAAGTCTTTCCTGGGATGAGAGCATGTGATTGGTGTCTAGGAAACAAAGAAAATACATGTGTCTCACCTGGCTCTATGATTGGTGTCGCCGCTAAACAAAGAAATCGCCCACCTCGTCACCTACCTTGTTCCTCAGCCTCATGTCCTATATTTGTTTACCTCCTAACTTGTTTCTTCTTCTCTTTCTTCCCTCTCCTCTCCCCACCCCATTCTCTTTTTCTTTCACCCCACACCTAACTTTATTTCTTACTACATCCCAGTAACAAATACCCATCACATCTACCTTGTCAGTTCATCTTCGACATGATGGCGAAGTCTCTCTTGGACTTCGTTGGTGACAACGACGACATGTCTCCCCGCCGCTCTATGGAGCTTCTTTGGGCGGATGCCGTCTCCCATCTTCCCCAGACTGATGGAGAAGTCTTCCTGCCTCGTAATGTTGTTGATGACATGCTTGACATGGATCTTCTCAAGGCAATGGCCACTCGTCTCGCGTAAGTCTTCACCCTATACCTATTTGAACTATGTGATTAACAAGCTGCAACAGGTGTATGCTCAACAAGAAAGTTGACATTGTTCTCGATGAATCCATCGATTCTTACCGCATGCTCCCTAAGCAACTCAGCGCTGAGCATGACGATGACCTATGGGCTGACCAACATGGTCTTGAGCTCAATGATCACCTTTTGATCTCCAAGTCTATCTACGAAGCTGGCGATTCTGTGAAGATCCCTGCTCGCCCAGCCAAAGTTCCTCGCCCTCCTAATTGCTTCATTCTCTACCGCCAAGCGAACCATCACTTGGTTAAGAATGCCAACCCAGGTGTTTCTAACAACGAAATCTGTGAGTTATCTCCGACTGTGCTTGTGTTGTTTCTAGCTGATGACTGTATTAGCTCGTATCCTTGGCGCGCGCTGGAACAATGAGAGCCCCGAAGTTCGGGAGCAGTTCACCCGCCTGGCTGACGATCTCAAGAAGGAGCACGCCATTAAGCACCCTGATTATCAGTATACCCCTCGTCGTCCTTCCGAGCGCAAGCACCGCACTCCCCGTGCCCGCGCCAGCTGTCTGCCTTTTGTCGAGGTCGATTCTCACTGCCAGGAGATGACTGATGACCTTGATGCCGAAGACCAGTTGATCTCAGTTGATGACAAGTACATCTCTGAGCTGAACAAAAAGGGTCTCCTTTTCGGTCCGAATGGTGTCGAGCCACTTTCTGCCCCCTACAGCCACGAGGAGTGTCTACAAATGAGTAATGACCTGGCTTCGGGCAACAGTCTTGCCTCTCTGGAATACATGCCTATTCCATTCGAATCTGGCAAATCTGATATCCCCAGGAAGACCGAGTTCTAATCTGCCTCCTTCCGAACCTCGACCCGGATCAGCACCGTTTGATATCAGCATCGTCAACACATCACGATCAACAGTTCCGTTACCTCGCCTTCTTTTCGCTGACCGGTTGCCTCCAGGGATGCATTGATTACTTTCGACGATTAGGCACAATTTTTTTTCCACGTACGTCTCAAAAAACCAAAAACAATTGAAAACGGAAAATTCAAAATTTTTTTTTCTCATGTCTCGCAACCTTTCTGTACAATTAGCTGATTCTTTCCGCCGGCTTGCTTCGGTTTTCAATTCTTCTGTTTCCGCTCATGGCAAGTTCTCAGGAACTGAGCTGACTGGCTTTCTTTCCCACGGGGTTTTCTAGACGCTCTTTTCCTACAACGTGAGCGCTTTTATGTACTTTAGTTTGAAATTCCATTGGCGTTTTTCACAAACTCCTTCCTCTCTTATAGTATATAGAATTATAAATAGATACGTATAGACGTATCTCGAGGACACGGTCACATCTTTTATATCATAGGTATTTAGTTCGATAACTAACTATCCCTAACCCCACTATTTTCTAGGTTACAAACTAGACCTTTCTGATGCCTCACTGAGGATATCGTTAAGCCTCTATATTATTATTTTCTCGAAGCTCCGAGCACCTAGCGACACCTAGACACTCAGTTCTTTACCTTCGTGTATAATATAACGTCTCGATACTCTTTATTAATAACCGCCGCTAGTAGCTCTACCCGCCGATCGGTGTACACTACTATAGTTCCACTAGTCGCTTTTTACGCTTACCTACTAGAGATAGAATACAGATAGGATATAGAGGATTGAATTTAAGGGGCTTAGGTAAGCTACTTATATTCACTATAGGAAATTAAGAACTAATTACGGGGGTTAGCAAGAAGGGCCTAGCCGAATAACGTAAAGTGCGATATAGACGAAATAAAACTCCTTGAGATTAAGATACGGAATATATAGATAGCTAAGAGCGAAAGATATATCCGACGATTTCCCTACTCTTCCTAGTACGAGATCTTACGTATTTCGCCTAGACGCTAGCGGGCGCGAGCTAGACAGTTCTCGAGTTAGAGGATTTTGACCTATAAAGAGGATATATATTAGTATTAGATAGATAGAATATAAGGGAAGGGGATATTATATACCTACTACTCTATCTTAGAGTTATATAATAGGCTCTATAATAGAGATCTTAAGACGGTCCTTACCTATATCCCCTTACCGAACCTCGGGCACCTCGCCACCTATAGGCGGCCTTATTATACTAGAAAATGCGGTCTATAGCCGCGAGTTATCGGTTACGGATTATATTAATAGCGCTAGTTTTGTCTATAAGAGCGTTATTTAAAGACGTTCTTCTACTCGTATAGAGAGCGGGTCCTTCTCTAGCTTAAGAAGCTCTTAAGGTAGTTCTACCGCGTCCGTTATTAGTGATATATCTTTATAACTATAGTATAATTAAAACTATCACTAAAACCTTTATATCTTCCGATAGGGGGTCTTCCGGTCTAATAACTCCTAGATAAGCTACTACTACCGCTAAAAAATAGAGTTAGAGTATATTTAGTAAAGGTAATCTAAATAACGGCTAAGAATTATATAGGCTCTTCTAGGCACGCCTAATAAACCGATTAGGTATAGCTATCCTTATCTACTACTTAGAATACTCTTACCGCGCCTAGATAAATATACCCTAAAGAGGAATATAGGAATATTATCTAAGCGTAAACCTATATTAGTATATATAGTACCTAAACGCCCTAAGATAGGAGACTAGTAGCCCCGCTATTATATTTACCTTATAGGGGACTAACGGCCTTTAGATATATAATAAGTAAGATACTAATAAACTACTTATAGTAGAGATATCTTAAGAACGTAAGCTAAATAGCCTAGCCTTTAGAGATATAGAATTAGACTCTAGCTTAATAGCCCTAACTCCTATTAAGAGTAGGATATCTTTAAAGACTAAATAACTTAAGGCTAATTCCTAAAGTAAGAAGACTTATCTACTTTTAAATCGTTATACTCTATTAATTAGGCGCTCTCTTTACCTCTAGATAGTTATAAGTCCTTATTATCTATTAGAAGGATAGAAATACCCTTTATATAATAATTTATTATCTTTATTCTAATATAAAAAAAGGAAAGAACTAAAGACTAAACGATCTTTAGTTTATATAGATTATATAACTAGTATTAATTTCTTTATTATCTTACTATACTAGATAGAAGCCTTTATATTAGGCTAGTTATCCCTATATATAACTCTTTTATATAGAATATTATAAGTCCTTTATATAATAACTCTTTTATATTTATAGCTAATCCTTTAAGGTTTAATATATCTATATTAATTTTAAGTTATCTTAAAGATAGTAGGCTAAATAAACTATAGAGATTAGCGTATATAAATACTTTTATCTCTACTATCTAGCCTATAGTAGGAATATTATATATATATTTAATATATATTTTATAGACTAGGATAATCTTTATAAGGGATAAAGCGTTAGATTCGAGCTATAGCCTAGGTTTATATCGGCTTAGACTTTATTAAGACTCCTAGTAGGCACTAGCTTTCCTATTCTCTATTAATATTATTATTTAAACTCCTATATATATTTTTTTAGTACTTTACTAATTTCCTTTACTTTATAATTTAAATTATCCGCTTATTCTAGTTAGTATAATATATTTCTAATATCTATATACTATCTAGATTTAAGATCTTATTAATATAATAAACCTTTAATATTTATCTACTCTTTTTCTCTTTAAATATATATCCTAATAGCTATAATAAATTATTAAACTAGGATAGATATAGAATTTAAAAGTACTTATCTAATAAAAGATTATATAAGACTAAGCCTAATTTAACTATTAATATCTATAAGGTATCTAATATTAGTAATTTATTAACTAGAAGATAAGACTAATATAAGAGAATAGATATAGTAAGTAAATAATTTAATAACTAATAGAGAAAACTATCTCTAAATATATATCTTAATTATATTTTATTATCTTTAATCGAATTAATTAGACTTTACTATATCTAAATTAAACTAATTATCCTTTACTA